AAATACACATGAGGGTAAACAAAATTCACTTAACATTTAATTTTTTTTTAAATGTGTTATTGTAAAAGATATATTGCCATTAATGTCCCTCACTTCAAACACGCTTATCTTTTCATTTTTGCCACTTTCTGGAGCATTTCTGGAAGTCCTCTTTCCTGACTGTCTTTGAGTTTTGCACTTTCATGGTTGACTCGATGTTTCGTGGCTGTTCAGTTGTCTTAAATTGATAAAAGACGTTTACCTTTCATGGTCATTTTAACTTCGGGGAAGAATTAGAAGTTGCACAGTTCTAGATCCAATGAATAAGATGGATGAGGATACACCGTGATGTTTTTATGAGCCTGCCTTTCTGTTGAATGAGATTTGGGACTTGGCATGTAGCATTGAATGTATTTTTTTTAATCACATCCCATAAAGAGGCTCACAAAAGAGGACTTCTGGAACTACTTCAGAAGGTGGTAAGAATAATGACCTAAGTGTGTCCGAAAGAAGGAGACTGTTTTGAGGATGATTAATGGTGATGTATCATTTACTGTAATAATTTTTTATTTTTATTTGAGCATTAGTAGTATGTGTTTGGAATACATAATTACATTTGTCTTGAGGAATTGGTACATAGACATCTCACATAGCCATATTTTTATCACACCTTGTCATACATGTGTAATAAAAGTAAATTTGTCTATCCCTCCTTTTCAACTACATTTTTAATGCCAAGAATATCAGTTTAATTGCTGTCCTTGTAATGAACTTTTCTGCTCTACATATGACTATAAACTTGAGGAATGCTTTACAGAGAAAGCACTTTTCTCAAAATCACACTGCTTTCCATATGTTTTTTCTACAGGGTAAAATTTCCCAGGGACTACTTTTAGAACTTACATGTGTAGACAGATCATATGGGACAATGTTACTCTTCCTCTAAAAGCAGAACTCCCTTTATGGTAAAATTCTTCAGACAACAATCACAGTGTAGGTAACAATTATAAACCATTGTGGAGAATTGGGTCCCCACTCATTTTTAATGAGACTTCCATGAGACCACAATGAAAGAGATTTAAAAATGTCCCCCGAAAGTGTCATGTATTCAGAGGTGAGGATTTCAGAAGGTGAATGGATTATGGGGTGCTATGCTCATCAGTGAATTCGTCCATTGATGAGTTCCTAGCTGAATGGGCTGTTAAGAGGTAGGATCTTGCTGGAGAAAGTGGATCACTGAAGGCAGTGGAGAGTGTATCCTTGATCTGGCTTTTCCCTGTCTTTCTGCTTCCTGACTGTTATGGGGTGAGCGGCTTTCCTTTGCCATGCCTTGCTACCATGATGTTTCTTCTGTGAAGCCAGTTGATGAGGGACTGAAACCTCTGAAACTGTGAGCCAGAAATAAGCCATTTCCCCCTTTAAGTTGTGTATGTGAGGTATTTTATCCCAACAACAAGCTGACTAATACAAGGGTATTGTGGACCACTGGAAGGCCTTTTCTCTGAGGGAAAGGGAGGGCCATTAGTGGACTTTGATCTGACTTAGGCATGTGGGTTGACATGTTTGTTACTTTGTTTAGAACAGATTATAAGAAAGTAAAATTATAAGTGATAGAGCAGTTGAGAATCTGTCACGGGGATTCTTCATGAAACTGTGGTGATGTGGACAAGGAAGGTAGGAAGGGAAGCAGTTTTGAAGATTGAGCTAAGAGCCTATACCAGTAGATTAAATGTAGCATGTAGAGGAGAAAAATGGTCAAGAAAGGCCACCAGGACTTTGGTGTGGGCAGCTACAATAGTGTTCGTTTAGTCCACTTTTCATTACTATAGCAAATGCCTGAGATGAATCAACTTGTAAAGAGAAAAGGTTATTTTAGCTCACGGTTTGGGAGGTCCAGCGCATGATCCCACGGAAATATTGTTTTTAATATTGAGCTGGGGGAGAGTCGTATCAAGGCAAGCAAACTTATTCACTTTGTGGCTGGATGGTAAAGGGGGGTGGTAAAAAGAAGCTAGGGTGTCTGTATATCCTTCAAGGACACACACCAAGTGACTAAAAGACCTCCCACTAGGCCCCGTGTCTTAAAGGTCTGACCACTTCCCAGTAGTGCCATGGCAGGGTGATGAAGCCTTAAAGCCAGGGAGTTTTGGGGGTCACGTAGTCCTGCCGTAGCACAGTTGCCATCGATTGATATAGCAAAGGGTGTTGGGATCACCAATTTGGATGTTGGATGCAAGGTTCAGTACAGGACGTACTAAGCTTGAACTATTTGCTGTCTGGTAGAGAGCTAGAGCAGGCAGCCAATGTGATCTGTTGACAAGTGTTGTGTACAATGTAGTCCTTATGAGGGACTTAGAATAGTACGGCATTCACAGGAACAAAGTAAATAATGGTTATGACTAATATAGTCCTTTCGCCTTTGACCACGTCGTTCAGTTGGTGCAAAATAATTGTAGAGGTTCGCTCTTGCTTATTATGTGCAGTTTCACTCTGACTTAGCAATTAAAGACCTCCTCGGGGTAAAAATCCTCTTGTTTCCTTTCTGGTCTGTTCAGTTCCTCACCTGCATACTATCCTTTGGTAGTAAATTCCAAATTTTTCAAGCATAGTTTGAGAGTACTGTGGGGAGAGGGTCAGATTTCAAAGTGAAAATTAAAATGCACTATATATACATTTAATCTACGTAATTCTGGAAAATGTCTAAACAATTTAGCAATAGAAGATATACAGTATGATGGTTTCATTTCAAGATTCCAGCCTTGGAATGAAAGTCTGTTGCTCTGAGTGACTATCTCATGTCTCAAATTCTGATTTTTTCTTTTCTATTTTTTTTTTTTTTTTGCTGTTATTGTTGTTGTTTGGTACCAGGGGTCAAACTCAGGACCTTGTGCTTGTGAGGCAGGCGCAGTGCCACTGAACTAAATCCCCAGCCCTGGTTTCTTCATTGGTGATAGGATTGTAGAACATATTCAGTGAATAATAAGTGTAAACACTCAGCAAAAACTCAGGACCTTGTGCTTGTGAGGCAGGCGCAGTGCCACTGAACTAAATCCCCAGCCCTGGTTTCTTCATTGGTGATAGGATTGTAGAACATATTCAGTGAATAATAAGTGTAAACACTCAGCATGCTACCAAACACATAGTAAATCCTTAAATTGGTAGCTATTGCAATGATGATAAGGAACTTTCTTTTTTATTTTCAATTGGAACAAAGACTAAAGAGTTTCCTGTGGCTGGACATCTACTGTAAACTTTTTAATTAAATATACACTTTGATAGATCACTTAAAATTTGGGAAACTTAGTTTCAAGGCCTTAAGCCAAGGGAAGGTAGCAGAAATAAGCAGAAATAAGAATTTGAGCCCCCTTCCCTGCCTCCATTACCCTCCTGACTTTTCCCATCCAGTCCCTTGGCCGGATTGGATAATTAACAAATCGAATTGGATTGACTCCAAGGGAGGAACACTAAACTTATCTCTTCTCCCTTGTGTTATTTTAATTGTGTAAAGATTGTTACTAAGCATGATTCTTTGGGGGAAAACAGAATATGTTTACTATAGAAAGGCACATATTCTTTTAGCCCAGCAATTTTGGAAACAGAAGATGGTCTCCATGGTAAGAAGATGGGAATGGAATAGTATTAATAGAAGACAGCACGGAGCTAATGCACATTTGAGAGTATAAAGGAAAGAGTTATTTTAGCCTGTCTACCAAAAATAATATTGTGGACTATGAGTTATGCTAAATTGGTGCATGGAAAAGAAGAACCAGCCATAATGATATCTCGGAGTGAAAGTCAATAGTCACCTCTCAGAAAGCATCCCAGGGGAGCAGAGCCTCTCACACCTATGGCACGTGGACTGTTAATTGGCCCTCCCAAGGTTTGGAACAAAGACTTTGAAAATACTGTGACTTCTTAGAAGCACATTTTGAGACATATAATAGTGATGTAACCATTGCATCCAAGAGCTACCAGACCAGTCAAACATCAGCAGGAATAAAAGCCCAATGAGACAGTGATAACCTGATATTCTCAATTCTTCTCCAGTCCAATTTCGGAGCCCAGTCACTTTCTTCCTATGTCCTTAGCTGCCTTTATTCAATGTCTAATCGAGTTGTTTTCTCTCCTGTTTTTTGCCATGTTGGTAGGATGTATTTATTCTTGCTTATTTGTCTTTGTGATTGAATATCTGCGGTGATAGTTTGGGGTTAATGCATCCTTTTTTAGTTGTTATGATCAAAATTTCTTGATAAATTTTCACCTACTTTTGCTCTGCACTGTTTCCCTACCTGTAACCTGTATTTACCTTACATCTCCCTCTTTCTCCATTTTTTCACACAGTTACATCCTAAAATAATGATATTCCTAATGTGATACCTATTGAAGTGAAAAGACACTCATGGAATTTACCATAAAATGATAAAATTTATTTCAAAATAAACACACCCAGACATATATATTTGTATGAGTATGTATTATCCCTTTTTTTAAAAAAAAAGTCAGAGTGGTATTCCTGCATGACTTTGGAATTGATTTTAGAACCATTTTATAATCTTGATAAGAAAATCATACTGCTAAATTACAGTAAAAGCTTCCTGTTCACCCACATCGCTGTTGCCTAATTTACAGATCTGATGCCAAATTTATTTTGATAGTTCAAAGTAGTACTTAGAGGGTGCAAATTTAACCCATTAGGGATTTTTCAGAAGAAGGAGGGACTTATCCTAAAGACAGTTCTGAAGAAGAGTCACGAAGCTGTTTTTGAGTAATGTCAGCATAATTAAAATGAATCTATAGTCCCAAGTACTTTAGAAGGAAAGGCTCCCTTTTGGGTGGATATGTTTTCTTGTTTCTAATAAATATGACTCACTGTTTTATAGTCACATCCTAAGAACTAACTCAGAAGTTCTTTTATTTGATTTAAACTATATTCTCATACGTAACATCCTTAAAACTTCTCATCTGTATATGTGGGAAATAGCTACTTCATAATAAGCAAACGCCTGTCTTATTGTCTCTAGGTCTATACTTGATAAGAAGGAACTACTGGAGTTTGCTCAGCTTGGCTGTTACTTGGAATATGATCTCTTTGGTAATAACTTTCTGAATTACCAGTTCAACCTGAATATTGATATGCCTGATGATAACAAAAGAATCAGAAGGTAAACATGGTTACATCTCTCGTAGCACTCCCTCTTACCATCCCTTTTTGATTGTTGTACCTGGGTGAGTCTTAGCAAAGATTCAGAAAACAGTAAGCAGGCTGAACCACAGAATTGTAGAGAAAAGTATACCTGAGCTGTTTCAGGGAGAAAATCTCTATACATTATTTCAAGGAGAAAAGGAGTCCTCCTAAGTAGGCTAAAGCTTAGCAGAGCTGTAGAAGTTCAGTGCAGATGGGCAGCTGACAAGAAACACAGATAATGCTCAACCCCTGCCATGACAGGAAAAGAACAAAAAACACTTCCCTTCTTTACACCTAATGAAAGAAGCTGTTTCTTTCCCGGGTTAACTACCCTAAAGTCATACCTTCCTGTGGTTAATACATGAAATGCTTCGTTTAAATGTTCATGAAGGGGTGATTGTAATTAAGTGCTAATGGTGCAGTGCCGGAGCACCCAAAATCCTACAAAATGTAATCTCCCCGAATCATCTAATGTGCGATCAAGCAAACAACTGTTAAGATTCATTCTTTGTAACCAAGTAGAAAAAATTCAGAAGCCAAGAATGTCTATTAGGATGGATCTTGCTTGCATGGTAGTGTGAAGAGTGAATAAACCAAGCTAGGGAATACAGGAGGAGAAACAGATTTAGGATTGACCAGAGAAACTTCAAGAGTGTCTAAGTGTTGTTATCCAGTGGGCCCTAAGGTAAGGTTATGAAACTCAGAGCAGAAATTCGGGCTGAAAAGTAAGTTTAGACATCACTGGTGGTAGCTCAAACCGTGGAGATGGAGGGGATTACTCAGAGAGAAGGATAAAAGCAAACCCTGGAATGCATCAAGAACCATCCCAGGATGGGAGAAGAAGTTCTCAAACTGATTAAATCATGGAAATACATTCTTGTGGAAGTCGTGGAGAGATATGCTTTGACAGAAGGGCTTGGGATGTCAAGTGAGATCAGGACGGAAAGCCACCGTTGGATTTCACAGTTAGGAGGTTCTCCTTCCGCCGGAAGTGTGCATCTCAGTAACAGTGGCGTAAGGAATGAGTCACAGGTGAGGAGCAGTGTAGTGGTTATTCTTTCAAAAAGTGTGCTAGCGAAGGGAAGCAGGTAGGTGAGGCTGAAACCAGGAAATATAGGAACAAGGGAAACTTTTATTAAGAGTCGAGCGTGGCTGGGGATTAGCTCGGTGGTTCTGCCGCCTGTCTCACAAACACAAGGTCCCGAGTTCGATCCCCAGTACCAAAAAAAAAAAAAGTTGAGAGATTTATGTCGCTATGAGCAAAAGAACAGAGATAGAAGTAGATCCAGGGAGGGAGTGCCATTCCATAGGGCTGTGATAGAATTTATACGAAATGATGTTTATGCAAAGTTGTTTTTTAAAAAATCTGAATGGTGCAGTAGAATTGTTCGGTAGACGTTGACTTCACAAAGCCTGGAGAGATAAGAAATACAGAGATAAGCTCCTGAGGGGACAAATAGATGGAATCTGGGGAACAAACCAAAAATTGGTTGAAAGGATGCTTTCTCTACAGAAATAAGAGCGCAAAGAAAGCAATGATGTGAAGGCAGATAAATATATTGACCAGAGGGACAGGAAACAGACCAGTGGTCCTGTGTTCTCTAGCATCCCTGTGAGGTAGACACAGTCACTTCCTAAGAAAGAAGGAATGGATACGGGGCAGAACCTGGTAAAGGGGAAGGAAGTCTAGGAAGGGCTGTCAGGTGAGTGAGGCAGACCCCGACAAAGCCATGGGTGTGAGACCCCACTGAGGCTGGAAATCACAACTGTGTGACTCTGTGTTGCTAGCAATGTAAATATTTGGTGGTTGTTTTGTTGTTGTTGTTGTTGTTGGTGGTGGTGTTTAATGGTCTGAGTGTTGGTAGTAGGTTGAGAGCTTTGTGAGTAGAAGCAAAAAATGTGAACAGTCAGAGAGATGTAGGGTTGAGATTCTATTGGGAAAACGTGGGTGACACCAAGTGAACATATGAGGCCCAGAAGTGAAGGCCCAGAGTCCAAGTTGGAGGAAAGAAGATAGAGAAATAGGCAGATAAATAGAATGACAGAGCAGGTCAAATGAGAGGCTTTCCTGAGGTGGGGGAATAGATACATGAGCGAGTGGAAAAAATATAGAGAGGCCGTGTGATCTGAGTTGGAAAATGGAGATTGTGGCTTCAGAGAAAAAGCACTTCTCCATGATATCAAGGTCCAGAATGTGGTTATAAGGGTAGAAAGCCAATTAGAATGGATGTAAATAAAACTATACTTGAGAAATAATGTCCAGGAACCATGAGGCTTGATTATGGATGATTAAACATACACACACACTGGGGAAGAGAGAAAGATCCTGAGCCAGTCAGAATGCCCTCCTCGCTGACCTCAGTGACAGTAAAATGTGCCTGAAATTTAATGTCATGGGAGAAAGCTCGTGGGTAAATGTTAGACTCGTTGTGGAAAGTGGCAGCCACTCTATGCGGGAAAACTATTGTGACTTAACCGATGAAGCTAGGTCCTTTTTTTCTTAACACTTACACCGGTTCTTTGGCAAATAGATTTAGTAGTTTTTGTTTTGTTTTGTTTTATGCTTTTAATTTGTTTGCTCAGAAGCACTATGAATGTAGGCCAACAGGATTGCCTGGGGCCCTACTCATCTGTGCCCTATTCAAGGGGCAAATATTCTTTACTCAAAGACAGCTGGTATGGAAGACGTGGTTGCGTGCTAGGCCTTTCTCGTCTCTCATGATATCACATACACGATTTCATGAGAAGGCCCTCAACATATTTTACAGTTCACCTTGGACATGGAAAGTTTGCCCTCAAGATCTGGTTGCTTTTCCTAAGCCACTCTTTGGCAGTGAGGTGTGTCTTTTGCTCCAATAATCCTTCCATGAGATTTCCAGACCTGCTGGAATAAGAGAGAGATTTTTTTTTTTTTAGCACTGGGGATCAAACTCAGGACCTTGTGCTTGTGACGCAGCTGGCAACACCACTGAGCTAAGTCCCCATCCCCAAGAGGAGATTTTTAAGGGAAACTTGTGGAGATATAAAAAAAGAATCAAAGGCTTCCTGTGCATTCCTGATTAGATCCTTTTAGCTATTAGTTTAGGGGGAAAAAAGAATTTAATTTTGGTTTGCTTTGATTGTGTTACATGTCAACATTCTGAAAGTATGAAAATACTTTAAACTTTCATATATGTGGAAATGTACATACATGGTATATATTTGTGCTATTCTGTGCATAGGTGCATGCATGCATATGTATGCGGGCTCAATCTTCCTTAAGTTAAAACTGCATTGAGTCACTTTTCCCAAACACAGCTCACGTTGCCTTGTGTTTGTTTATTTGCTTTTTTTTTTTTTTTTTTTTTTTTTTTTTCAATGTTCCAAGCTGGTCTTGAACTTGCTATGTAGCCCAGGCTGGCCTTGAACTCTCAGTTGTCCTGCCTCAGTCTTCCAAGTGCTAGGATTACAGGCGTGCGCCACCACCCCTGGCCAGTTCATGTTAATCACTGAATGGCCCTGGTGACTGTGTGTGATTCACTATCTCCCTGTCCCCCATGTCACAAGGACTTGGTTTTTACCATTCATCTGCAGCCCTTTTTGGGCCACAGTAGTCTGAAATCTCGGAGATTTCAGAACACAGAAGCACGCTTCTGCCTACCTCTGGTTTTTGGCCCCAGAAATTCTGTGTCTAACACCTGTTTTCAATCTTATGCTCCATTTCTCAAATCTTATTATATCTCTGCCTTTTCACACTTTGTAGTCTCTCTCTAATATTTGTTTGCAAAACACTAACTCATTTGTATGGCTATAATTACTGTAATTTTTTTTTTGTCTTCTCATCTGTAGCGGTTCCTCCCTTCTGGCAGCCTCTCCACGACTCCTGCTCTTCCTTATCGTGGTAGGAACATGCGAAATAATCTCTTAGTTATGGGTAACCAGGCAGATTTCCTTGGTAGTCGGGATGGAACCGTGTTTCTAGAGCTAGAACATTATCTTGCTCGTAAAACAGTCTCCCAATCCTTGACTTTAAAGACTTCTAAAAGTTTCATTTTTAAATAAGAGTATCTCATTCGCCATGAGTCGTCTTCTTTTTTTTTTGGTACCGGGGATCAAACTCGGGTCCTAGCATTTGCAGGCGGCAGCACCACTGAGCTCCACCCCCGGCAACCACACCCCTTCTTTACCGCTCTCCCTCTGGATAACATTGTCTCTCAAGATGTAATGAAAGGCATCTTACAGGAATTTGTTTATGCATACGTATCCCTTTATGGTAACGAGATACCATAATTTTCAGACAAGGAAAAGACTTTTAGAACGTTGGGAAATGCCTAGAAAATATTAGGAAGACACGGAATTCAACCCGCTCATAGGACAGACATGGGGTCACGTGGCAGGAGCCCTGCTTTCTAGGCAAAGCGCCCAAGCTGACTCTTATATTCCTTTGAGCTGCACATGTAAGGTCTAATCTTGTAATCTATTTCATAATGTATGTTCTCAGAGGCCAGGGCTTTGTGCTTGAGTTGTGTGTGTGTGTGTGTGTGTGTGTGTGTGTGTGTGTGTGTGTGTGTGTTGTGTGTGTGTTGTGTACACATCTTATTAGCATAGTAGTTGTTAAATGGAACTCATGCTCCAGAATCCCAAGAAATGCTGTCTATGGAAACCAAAAGGATGCCTTTCAAATCCTCGGGCCCTGCAGGAAAGCACTGTCCGTTGCCTTCCATCCATGGGGGACTTCTGAGGCTGTAGCAGAGTCCCGGGAATGTGCCGTGTCAGTGAGCTGCCCCTCTGCCATCAGAGATCCTCGCAAGTCAGGACAGACGCTGCCCGGAGTGCAGCCACAGACAGAAGGAGGCTGTCAGGAGGTGACTCACACAACAGATGACTGCATTTAACCAAGCAAAGAGGGCTACATTTTTAGACCATTGTCAGGAAGCTGCTCTGTAGTCAACTGACTATAGATTTAAAGGAACCGCTTATTGTTTTAACAATCTCCTTGACAGGAAAGGAAAACAGAGTAGAGTTTGGGGTTTTTGTTGTTGTTTGTTTTTTTGCTCATTTTAATCCAATGCTCAGAGGCTACTACTAAGTCAGAATTCCCATAGATTTCAATGAGATAAATGCTCAAAATATGTAGGTGCTTTTGGCAAGCTGACTTCACTGACTGTAGCTCCTATCGTGTGCCCTCTCTTGCAAACCAACTGATTTTACTCTGAGGGTTTTATTCGTATGAAGATCCCTGTTGTTTCCATATTTTAATCACAAATACCCACTGATTTTATTTGCTAGATGAAAAGGGAGAGAAACTGGGCCTACTAAAATAGGCATTTGAGAGAGGAGAGCTGAATACCAAGCCAGAACCAAATTATTTAGTGAAATGCTAAAGTGGTCATTCATTGGAGCTGGCGGATCCTATTAGAAGTGGTCTTTAATACAGCATTACCGGCATTGTCATCAATAACACAGGCTGGAAATTTCTGTGTGTGTAGAGTAAGGATCCTGTGCCTCCTTGGAGGCGGCATTATCTTTATCATCACCACGTAGTATTTATTAAGGGTGTCCAGGGACACAGGCCACAGTAGGAGGCAGTGTCCTTATGGCAAACATGATAGGTTTATAAGCAAGAAGTTTAGAGCACCCAGAAAATCTAACCTGTGAGACAGATGGCATCTAATGAGTTAATATTTTCACAGGGTGCATTTCCTGGTGGAGGAAGGCTATGGAGATCGAATTCTGATGGCCCATGACATACACACGAAGCATCGTCTGATGAAATACGGAGGTCACGGCTACTCTCATATCCTCACCAATATTGTGCCTAAGATGTTACTGAGAGGTCTAACAGAGGCCGCGCTTGATAAGATACTGATAGAAAACCCTAAGCGATGGCTCACTTTCAAATAGGATGGCTGCTTATGATTCGACACTTGGAGCATGAAACTTGGAAAACCATCAGTGATTTCAAGCCCAGGTGTGATATTAATCAGATCTACATAGGCCACACTGACTATTTCATTCTCACACAGAGTTTGCCTTCTCTGCAACAGGGTATTTGCCCCTGTGGGGCGTCGCTGAGCCTAAGTGAGCTCCATTGTTTTGCCCTAACAAAATGAATACAGAAAAATCTGTATTTCCAAACACTGACTTAAAGTCTGTATCTCCTAAAAGGAGTTTTTGGGGATTTTTCAGATGCACAACTTGAGAAAATTTAAAGTGTCTCTGATTAAATTGCCCCCTTCTGGAGCGTTCTAATGTTTCTTGTAATATTGATGATCCTACTAATTATCCTGCTGTTCTTTAATTAATGCTTAATGAATAATATGGCACTTTCAAATAGCTTTTGCTGCAAGGAAGTTAAAATTTGAGAGTTGTTTTTTTCAACCGATACTGTAATATAATTACCAACTCACAACAATAAAAATATTTTGGAAAGTTAATTATATCCTATCCACCTAAACATAATAAGTCAGTTTTGATGCCTTTGGCTTTCTGGTGTGCAATTTTTTGGCTGTAAATTTTGTTGTGTTTTGCAAAGTTTACAAAAGAACATGTAACAGTGATGAATTATAAAAATTCAATCATAAAAGTCAAAATATATTACATAATATAGTTTAATGAATCATTACATTTATAATAACAAAGGCCACAATTTAATTAATTCATAAGATATAATGCAAAAAAAGAAATGTTTGCCTTTATATATATTCCCTTTATTTCCTTTACCATTTTTCCTCGGGCCTAAACAGAGGAAAATAATGCTTATTTATCTGAAAAAGGTGAAATCCATTGGAAATGACAGTGTGATTCTAAAGCCTTCTCTTTAAAAGGTGTCCAGGCCTGATATTTTGTGTAAATAGAGCCTTTTTAAAAATTTTAGTTAACACTCTTAATGGATCTGCGCTGCTGTTCGTAAAGTAATATTTTGACCGAATCCTCACTGTTATTTGTACCTAACACAAATCTCTAATCTGTTGCTGCACATTCCTCCTTGATAAATATATATTGTTAAAGGGAAAGCAACTATTACACTTCATTTATGAGTTATCTTACATATCAGAAAGGCCAAAGAGAATTAGTCATTTTTCTTAATGAATGGGCCAAGTGTTTTTTATCATAGAAATCATGACAGTTACTCAGACCAAGGCATTTAAACACAGCAAACCCCACCTTCAGATGAGAACACCATGCATAACTCTTGGAAAGTTGAAGTTGTCTAAATGAAAGACTTTTAGCTGATCAAAGATGATCAAGCTTTCTGTGTATTAGAACAGAAAGTACCAACGAGGAATGAGCCATGAGAACAAACCAATTCCTTTAAGTGAAAAAAAAAAAATGCAAATGTCCTTCACCAGTAAAACAAGCAGATTTTTAAATCTTTGCTTTTGAATTCTACTTGTCAAAAGTGTCTTCAGAGGCGACTGAAAGGAACAGATTTTTTTTTCATTGTAATAATGGAAATTGTGTGATAGGATGTATCAACATGCATTTTAATCTTTTTCTTAGATGAAAGAGATGGCGTTTGGCAGTGGATTTTAACTAGAGAGGAAGGGTTTGCATAACGTCCAAAATATACTGTCAGCTTCCGTCCACCTGAGAAAAAAGAAACATTGACAGCTCAGATGTGTGTCATTCATAAACATCGCGGAGACTGACTTTGTTGCTGTAGTTCCTAAGAACGCAGTGCAAGTACTGATTGTCTCATGGTAATGAAGTAACCATAGGCTTAGCTCACACGTGAAGTGTAGGGCACTTTGACCTACTAAGATGTAATTTTCTGGATAACTCTTAAAGAGAAGTCACTTCGATTATTTTGCTACTCCATATATTTTTGTCACCTAAAATATATTTTGATCCAAAATAAGTCCAATAATTTTCGCGTGTTTCTGTGTGTGTGTGCGCATGTGTGTATACACATTTATTTTTTAAATTAAATTTTTGAAGCTGTACAGCCACTGTACGTCATGGACTGAAGCCATCGGTATATAATATCCCATCTAACATATACGTGTATATGTATATAAATATGTGTATGGTGGTATTCATATAAAATATATACACTTTGCCGTCATACTGCTTATGTGTGAAATGGTTGATTTTGAGATACCCACAGGCCACAGATTTGTAGTAACTGTTTGAAGGCCTTCCTTAGTGTCCCCTTGATGATGCATGCAGGGCTCAAATTAAACCTTTGTGCACTGGGTTATGAGTAATCCTTTGTTCCAAAGAAGGCAGAAGCCTCAGTCTGACTTAATAACAAAGAATGAATTTCTCTGACTTTCCAAGTAAATCTAAATGTGTTCTATTGACAAAATGGACACAAAGGGGAATTTTCTAAGTACCATACACAATTACACATTTTCACACTTGGAGAGTAATCCTATGACACAATTTCAACCTCTAATTTTTAATGACTATCACCAGAAAAGAGAGAGGAGGAAAAATATCTGTACGGAAAGGAAACTGTGAAAATGATCATAGGCTTGGGAATCCCCACAAATCCAGAAAGTTCCAGGTTAAGGCTTGAAGTTGAATCATTCCCAGGTCTAGCTCTAAAGTTAACAAGAGTACAAGGCAAACAATTTCTTTGGGGACAAGCAGTGTTACTTCAATTAGACCTTCTCCTGCAGGGTGAAAACATTCTTCCCCACACTATGAATGGACTCCAAGTATCGTAATAAGCAGGTAAACTCACAAGAACCAAAGCTGACATATGGATAAAAGCAGCAAGATCACAGTACACCAAAGTATCATATATATTGAAGAGATAATTCAGTGTCTTAGATTTCTCTATAAAAATTTGTGATCTATATAGGACTTCATTCACATGGACACTAACAATAAGGAGTATTTGCTTTGGCGGTAGTGGATCACACATCTGCTTATGTTGCTTTAAATATTTTTTTTTTACATAATGTTTCTGAGTGATACAGATGTGAATCAGGTAGCATTTGATTTCCCCACATATACACAACTGAGGTGCATCCCCCGGGATCCTTCATTCACTGACGTTAGCCATACGAATCCAGTGTTCAGACTCAGAATAATAAGCTTAGTTTCTGCATTATCAGTCAGCATAAATAATAAATCCAGAAAATGTGCTATATTTGTTGTTGTTTCCTCCATGGGCTTTCCCACCATCTAATTTGATATAGACTTCGTCTCCCGGTTCCAGGTGAAGAACCACACTGTTACTGGCATAGTCGTAATTCTGATCAGCATCTTGGGCAATTGCACTGGCACGCACCTGTGCGACACAGACAAGAATTAGGGTTAGTGAAAGAGAATTTTCTAGTTTGCTTTTCCACTAATCACACATCATCCTAAGTAGTCTTGCTGTCATAGCATGGAATGTAGCATAAGGACAGGGACATCCACCTTGGCCTCAGATCTTTATAAGAATATCTATCACAGTTTCAATTATGTTATTGGAAAGACAGAGAAAATAGTGCTTTAGTAGAGGACATCTCAGCAACCCTTGCTACCACTGTAAACCAAGCAAATCAATCTTATCTCTGCCTACATCACTACTTTTTCTGATTCCTTGAATCCCTATGCTCACTTTTTGAGATGTAAATAACAGCACTGTTTTGCATTTTGATTTAAGGCAAGTAGCAACACTCTCAGCAAATCAGGGTACGGAAGTTAGAGTCTCTCTGAAGTGGCTCACCACAATTAGAAATTTGGAATCTGCACTAGGTGAAGACCCAAAGAAGCACTACTATGTTACTATTGAGGAAGAAATAAAGGAAGAAAGTCCTTTTAATTTAGGGCTTGTCGAAATGTAACACAAGCAAAGTCCCTTTTACCAGGCTATTTCAGAAACTTAACTCATTTAAGTATTTGGTGACATCATCCACATTTTCAGAGTGTTGCCATTTGCACCTTTTTTGTCACTTAATTACATGCCCTGAAATCAACAATTTCAACATATCTAAAAGTCATAGAAGGAAGTAAGTTTCTGATTTGAAGTCACAAATTTCTGGAATTCTTGAATGATCTCACCGAATACTCTATTGTATATAGATGGTTCTAAACATGTGGTTTGTTTTGAGGATGGAGGTTGCTTATAATCTGTACATGTTGAGTCTGGTTTCATTAGTGAGTTGATAAACATTTGCAAACAGTCAAATTTGCCTATCATACCACGGGATATGGACATTCTGTCACATTCTCAAATTAGTCTTCATATTCATTTAGACATATTTTGATTCTGCCCTGGAAAATCTTCCACTAGGCAGACTTGTGTTTGATTTATTTCAGTGACACATCTTCTACTTCGTGGCTTCTTTCTATTTCACTATAATGCTGTTTCCCCAAATAACACAGCATGATTTAGTGGTTTTGTGAACCTGCACTATGTAATAATGCATGACTTGGGCTACAAGATGCTGGATTTTATCACTTGGCAACATGAGAGAAATGAGACATAAGTCAAGAATTCCCATGCATTTCTTTCAAATTTTAAATGACAGGTTTTCAAATTAAATTTTCATGTGGCGTGTTCTCACATTAATGCTGAAATGTTAGAAAAAGGAGAAGGCTCTTTGACACTGCTGAACTTAAGTAATTTGAGCAATATTTTAAAAATTTCTTTCTGGGTATCATATAGCAAAAGGAGAAAAGGACTTAAAGGATTTAGAATTGCTTAACACTGTGCTAACTGGCATAAATATAATGAAAGCAAAATGCCATGTAATTGTGCTTTGCAGCACTGAGTCAAACGTATATACCAACAGTGAGGTGATCTGTTTTGACCATTAAATAATAACCCATTTGAACTTCATAACCTGAATGAGGAATTAGTCCACAGTTTATAGAAGTTGAATGCTTTAATTTCTTCTGGTCATTAATTCCCAGGGAAAGAAATTTACACAAGGAACCATATGACTTGTTTTTTTTTTTAACATGTAGATTTTTAATGGATGAGAAAAAATTAAAATACACAATTGCAATTAGCTATATCAGTAATATACTCATTAATTATCAAACATAATATACTTCTCAGCCACTGTTAATAACCAGATACATGTTTTATTCAGGGCTTTGAGTATTTAGTAAATGTTCCATGGGGACTGTCCTTTTATCAATGTTTTCTACATGAAGGCATTTGGGAACCGGGACACACTAAAAAATCTCTTGATTTACTGATAGTCATCTTTTAAAAAAATAGAATGCAGTTTTTCTTCTATAGGATCTAACTACAAAACCAAGTAAATGTCACCATTTCTGATTCAGTAGGTGTAACCACAAAAGCCTGCAAATGCATTAGGCTGGAAGGTTACCCTGATGCTTTACATTTTCTTTGTTGGATAGAGCCACTGTGATTGCTTTGTAATGAAAGTAATTCTCTAAGATTCTAACCTACCCTGTACCATAAGACGGTCCCAGTGCTAATCGCCATGCTTCAGGCTGCATGGTTCAAGTATGCCTGTTCACCTGATCACACTCTAAAGGTAAAATGGGACTGAAATTTCAAGCTCCGGTATCTAGCTCAGTGACTTTAGCAATTCTTCCTTTAAGCCATCAAACTATTGAGGAAGGTAATGCTTTCCCTCTGGAGGCTATTTTCCCTTTCCTAAATGTACCCTGATTTCAGTAGTTGGTCAGAGAATATAATGCATCTTTTTCTCAATCCAACATACTTATTTCTACCTAAATTTACTTTAATGTCTTTTCTTATTATGGTAACCTTGTAGATTCTGCTTTGTCTTTTGTTTCATTGCTCCTAAAAAGCATCCATTTGACATGTTATTAGTCTAAATGAATATCAGACTACAAATTATTCATTCTATCCAATATAGTTTATGTCCACTGGTGCCATAACTAATAAATTGCTAAAAGTAAAAATTAGTCTTTAATTATTTCATAGCTGTAATCCTAAACCAATTTAATTTTATTATAGTGACTAACTATAACAACATAGTAATTATATTAGATAATACCTTTTTCAGGTTTTCAGCCATTAAGTATAGAAATATTAAAAATTTTCCCTGTGTCTATGTAAGGCTGTTCAAGTCCAGTTTTTACCTTTAATGTGCACTGGAATGGGCTTTCCAGAAATGGAGAGATTAAATTTAGGTTGATGGCTTCATGAGGAACATGAGAACTGTGGTCCTTTTAGTGATTTGCTTGTGAGAATGTAATAGGTTGCATAGTTTCAGCATTATCTTCTTACTGAGGGTTTGTCATTAGACACAATATTTATGGTAACATTTGGTAATTTAATTAATTGCTACTGATGTTCTCCTAATTTCATTTTCATCATGCTTCTATGGAATCATAAACAAAAGGTTAAGTGGCACATTGGGTTAATTTACTGGCCTTTGATGGTTCCATCTGTGGCCTTACATTCAATACAAAGCATAAATAAAATGGCTTGCCTGTGGTTACGGTCCACAGGCATTTCTCCCTTCCACAATGAACTGCCTTTTTTCTTTTTTTAATTTTTATGTTTCTCAAAATCCACTTAATCCATAGACGATTACACTAATATGGATCTCTGACTTTCTGGTTTCTAAAAACAAATGGGGTCAATCCAGAGGGGGAAACTGCCATTCGAAGAAGAGATCAGACAGGAGTGTAACTCAAAATGAAGGATAAAATATTTACTTACAATTTTTAAAAAGAGAGATTTTACAAGATTTTCCATTCATAACTGACTCCAGATCAGATTTCACGGGATAGTTCTATTCTAAAGATGAAGTTCCTTAACAGTAATACTGCAAGAACCATGTTCTAAAGTAGTCCACACTAAGGTAAACAAACAAACAAAAAAAGTATTGCTTGACACTATATTTATTTTTCTGAATAACCTGTTGCACACCTTTTTCAGAAGGAGTAGCTCAGCATTGCCAGTGGAAAGCATTATACATCCTGGGGTCAGCTATTTAACCTTATATTTTTTCCTTGCTTCTCACAGACGATGTATGGCAGAGCCATTTATACCCCAAGCAATGAAATAATTTTTAAAAATAAAATGCTCATAGAAGGCCTGAAGAGATTTTTTTTTAAAGAATCAGTGCAGTATACACAGCTTTTACAGTCTAGACATCGACAATTTAAACTAATTTAAATGAATTATTCCCTGGTTTTTCATTGAAGTGCAGATTTTTTTTAATGTGACCACATTAATGCATTTGTACAAAACCGGAATCTTATTCCATTTTAGCTGATAGCTCTGTAAGAAATCTCTTCCTCCTGGCAGTATTTTCCAGACCTAAGCTTTGAGTCAGAAGAGGGCCAATTTGTAAATAAAGGGGTGTCTCCTTGCTGCCCGCGGGGGGTCTATTCATAAACCACGTTGTTAGGTGACACAGTGATTCTATTTTGGAACAGGCCCTTTACAGGCATTCACCTATAACTCTCCCACTGCTCTGTGAATAATTTTTATTTACCTTAATATTATTTTCATGCATAATAAATACAATAAACAACCCTGTCAGTGCCTCCTGGTGGCCATTTTCTCTCTTTTTGTTTTATGAGTCCTGAGGGTCCCTTAAATTATTTGTAGGAAAGGGAAGGGACAGGATTGAAAAAAGAGAGAAAGAGAAAGTAAGAAAAACGCATACATTTAGGACATTTGTCTCTCATGTTTTAGAGCGTGTAACACTGAATTAGGACTTTGGAACAAATCCTGCTCTGCTGGTGCTTAATGGAAACCTGGGTGACAGCTGCATTTCCAGGGGCCCAGTGATCTGAAGCCCAAAGGCCCTGGTAAAAGTCAAAGTAGCTGCAGGTCAGAGAGCCTCGTGAGGGCGACGGCGGGGTCGCTGGCCACCCCTACGCCACTCCAAAAGCGCAGTTTAAACCCAGGCCCAGAGACCAGGCCGCCACAGCAAACAGCAGGGCCCCGCGCAGCTGACAGCGTGTCCGGGAGGACGGGGACACTTCGAGGCAGTCGCACACGCTCCGTCCCTCCTCTGAGAGATCCCACACGCCTCGGTTTTGCAAGGTCTGCGAATTTCTCCTGCAATCGGTTAGGAGGCCCTAGCACAATCCAGCAGACCCGTGGTCCCTGTAGCGGCGCCAAACAGCTCAGCGCAGCAACACCTGGGGGCCGGTACTCACCCGGGGGCGATTTCTGTCAAGGCCAAGGCCGCTGCCGCGTGCAGGCGACAGGGCTCGGTGGGGAAACGCTCTCGCAGGTGTCCCACGGCCGCGGGGCTGGGCCCGGACTGGTCTCCCTGCTGGGCACCTCCCTGTGCGTCCTCCTACCCCAGTCATTAGTCTGGGTTCCTTGCTTGGCTGCGCGTGGTTTTACCGCGTAAAGCTGCGACTCTCAACTTTTCTTTCACTTAGCACGCCTCGCCTCTACCCTTCCTCTGGGGCTGACAACTAAGCTAGAGTTTGCGTCCTGGAACTGACTGAGTTTCGCCGTCTGGGTCCGGGACCCCACGGTCTCGCCTCCGTCCTGGGCGCGGCCCGCTGGACCTCAGTCCTTCGGGTCCCCTCCTGCTCCCCGGAGCCCCTGTCTGTCTCCCCCGGGTTGTACACCCTGACACGCCCATGGCGGGCTCCTCGAGTCCTCTAGGCTCCGGAGAAAGTCTGTAAGCGACCCTGCGCTCCTGGGGACTCGGAGGCCAGGGGTCATTTTGGGCTCCGGGACCCCTCAGCTCCCGAACCGTTCGGGGATTCAGCGCCCGGCTGTGCGTCCCCCAGGGCCGGTCCCCTGCGCTCGCGCGCTCGGGACTCAGAAACCACCTTCTCCGGGCCTCGGGGCGCCCTCCTCCTGAAAGTGCCCCACCCTCCGCCCGCCCGCCCGCACTCACCTGGTTGTTCTTGCAGAGATCAGCCCACATGCTGGTGCCGTCCCCTCCGCGCATCAGGACGTGGTAGGTGAAGAAGTAGATGCCCGGGATGGAGCAGGTGAACTTGCCGGTGGTGGGATCGTAGTGGTTTCCGAGGTTGGTGACGACGTCGTCGAACTTGAGCACCTCGTAGCCTTCGTGCTGCCGCTTGAGGCCGGCGTAGAAGGCGATCTTGGGCACCGTGCTGTAGGTGGCCGCGCTGATGGCCCCGGCCGCGTTC